GGAAACTATCTGACTGACTTCAATCGCTCAGCCGCCTGGCACACCGAGTGTGTGTGAAGGAAATAAAAGCAGAGTCCCTAATATAGCCTGTGACCTGGACCCCCCCCCAAACACACACACTCTTACACACAGGGGACTCCCTGCTTTCTAACAGCTGCTGTGATTATTTTACCCGTTTCTCTGGATCGACCTTCGTCTGCTAACGAACAAAAACACCTACAAAGAGACACAAACTCAAAGAAAACGACGTCTGATTCGGACTCCGTCAGTCGGGGTGGCGGCCACGGGGACCTGAACGTCGTGACGGCTTTGAAAGTCTAAAAAAACAGAGTTTAAAATCCAAACAGAAATGATGAGATGATCAATGCTTAAGGAAGAAGCAATGATTCAGATTCTCTCCTCAGAGAATGGCAGACAGCACATTAAAGTTAACGTTTTCTAGTTTTAAGGTCAAAAATAATTACACGTTACGCGTCGCACAACGTGAGAGACGTGGCTTCAGTTTTAAAACCTTTAACAGTTACTTCCACCTGCAGCTCTCATGTTTGTTCCTGTTATTAAACACGTAATCAATACAAGTTTACAGAAAGAAAATTACCTCTCTGATGACTGTGGGTGGTTGCTGTGGTTACGTGGCAACCATGTAACCATGACAACCATCCCATTAAAAATATATAAATAACAACCCACACACACTCTCTTAGGTTGGTCCTACCGGCACCATCCTGCTGCCGAGTGTCCATCGCCTGTCTGTCTGTGGGCGTCTGATTTCAGGTGAGGAGCATGCTGGGTACGCTGTGATGTCACAGGACAAGTCTACATGGGATCCTTATGTGTGCAGCAACGCACAAAGACACGCATGCCATGAGGAGGCAGACTGAGCGGCGGTACGAGGATCAGAGAGAGAGAGAGAGCAGGCAGGACGTCCAAACACTGCAGAAAGGCATGCTGGGAAACCCACAAAGAGGGAAGGGGAGGGGCGGGGAGGGGAGGCTGATAGAGTGTCTTCACTGACTGTGTGACATTCCTGAATGTGAGACGGAAACCCTCGACAGACAGACAGCTGAGGCCAGACAGCTGCCCTCTCACTCTGACCACAACAACCAACCGAGCTGAAAACAAGATGCTGCAGTTCCACTAATGTCCACCAGAGGCCCCCCCCAAGTGTGTAAGTGTTAAAGAGTCCAACTTCACAGCAGAAATCAGCATGTCTCTGTGTCAGAAAAACAGGAGCACACATTTAACAGCCTTTAAATGTCTGACCTGAAGTATTTTAAACTAAAATCTGAGTTTTTCTGGATGCAGGAACCGACAGAGATCACAGAGAAAAACAAAACTCAGAATGGAGTTCCACAAGGCTCTATTACTGATCCTCTACTTATTATTCAGATTATATCATCTTGTTTGTTTGCTTCTACAAATGTACAGAGGGTGTTTTTTTAAAAATATGCCACGTGTTAAAGTTATGATAATTCATTATTAGGGGCGTGGCCTCTGACAGGTTGCTGTAGCTGCTAGCTGTCTGCTAGGCCTCGCATCAGCTAATTGGAAACCTGTACTGGGCCTCTAGAACTTGTGCTGTGGGATCCTTCTTTTTTAAATCCAATAATCTGACAAATAATATGACTGCTGTGTGGTTAAATGTACTGTCCAAGAATTCTAAGCTCTAATTTCAATGAGTGCAATTCAAAGACTTTATTTCAATGTTACTCAGTGCTGATTTAGGATGGCTCTGATTTTAAGGCAACTAGTATTACCTGACATCCTGGTCACTTCTGGCTCAATAAAAATTAGACTATTGCAGTGAGCTGCATCGACGTAACATGCAGTTATATCTTTAGGAGGTGGACGCCAGCATACAGCGGTGAGTGCAGCGTTAATTAATACAAACAAAACAATAAGCCACTGTCACTGATGAAAGCCTTCCTAATAGGAAGTATCCCTATACTGCCACAAGGTTTCAGCAGCAGACAGATGTGAGGACTGTAAATGAATTTAGGAATAAATATTAGAATATCCGTGAGGAGGCCTGGGGCAGACCCAGGACACGCTGGTGAGATTATATCTCTCGGCTGGCCTGGGAC